GCGTCTTACTGGCCTTCGTTCACCAAAACCATCAAAAGAAAATCGGCACTTTAAGCCGTAACTTAGTGGTATTAAGACTTAAAATATTGCTAAAATTACTAAAAGTCTAGAGCTTCCCTCTTGGTCTCAGTCAGGGGCTCAGCTCCTGGATCCCGCTAGGGGCCCGCCGCCGATCTCGGTGGCCCTGATTGTACTGTTGTGTGTATATTAAAACGTATTTGTGTTAAAAATGAAAATGGTGTTTATCAACCTTGTTGGTAACTATCGTAAATTGACTATATTTAAATACTAAATCCAAAGTACAATTTAACTACTAAATTTGAATTATCAGTTAACTCGGCTTCGGACTATTCAAAATTCTAATACGTAGCGTAACACACAAATGCAGCTCGACGGCCGTAACTCGTACATCAACGAACCGTTTATTTGGAAGACGAGATAAAGACGTCTCCTGCTAGTTACGAGATGCTCCCGTGCCATTATCATCTACAAAAGATACATCTAGTCTCCTTGCTGTTACATCCATACTTTCACTGTCTTATCATAGCATCTTTTCTGTCATATGGCAACCTTTCCTACCTGTTTACATGAAAACTCGTGTATATCAATTAATTTATATCTTTATCACTCCACATATTCTTGTGAAATATCTGCTCTAGCAGAAGGGCCACAATGTCTACAAGAAACAGGACTTCTCACCTGAATATGAATATGTTTGACAAACAACCTGTTGATATCTGCAGTCGTGTGGTGTGTTAATATTGTGTATGGAAAGTGCTCGTCTCAGTCAGATAAGTTAGGATTAACAGATCTGGAAAGCATAAGTCTCACAATCTATATTACGTATTCTACTAAAGCCATCAGACTGAGGTTGATAAAGTGAAGTGCGTTTATTCATCAGATCTAATGCTACACAACTCAGAGAACAGTTAACTGTTGAAATTAGCTCTCTGATCCATGTGGATCTCTTCAGGTGTTCTGAAACATGTTATTTTGTGCTCTATTAACATATCAGCTACCGACTGTACCAGTATATCGACCAGTGGATATACTCAGTTTGTAAAGTAGTTACTAAGCCACGAGTATATACAGATAACCTCTTTTCCTTTTTTTAAGATGACAACTGATATCCAGAGCTATTCTTTGTAAAGAAGAACCAACATACTATATTGGAATTTGCCCTGTTTAAGCTGACTTTTCCTCTAGGCGGTGCATGAAGTAAAGTTTTGAAACTCGACTCAAATGAAACTAGTAGAACTACCGTTAACACAAGTGTGCTTGCACTTTGCTGCCCTCAAGTGTTTGTATTATAAAAAAATATTGAGAATTTCATGCCTCAAAGTTTTGAGGATCACAAGTTGCAATACAGGTTGAGAACCACGGCTTGATGGTTTATTATGATAGTACAGTATACTTTCTGCACTCGTATCTACTCATGTAAATGCTAAATATTATATGCTTCCATGTTCCTCAATCTGAGCTGCTTGTGCTTTACCTTGCTGTGCTGCATGAAACAACCATGTTAGATCTAAGTCCTTCAGTTCCTCTTCACAGAGCTTCTGAATTGTTAATTTTGGCATCCATCATGTGGTGAGACAATCTTTTCATGCTATGGGCCTAAACAATGATTTATGACTAGACTATACTCGTGCGATGCAGTTATTCAGTATGCAATCATCTTTTTTTATTTTTAAAGATTATCAACCATTTAAGTGATACATGATCCGTCCGAATAGTGAAATTTCTATCACACAAGTATTTTGGCAAAGTTCTATGAAGAGTTCAAGTGCAAGCAGTTCTTTCTTCATTGTACAGTATCTGCATTCCAAACCCATGAGTGTAACACTAGCATTTGTGGTTACGTGTTTTACTCCATCTTGTAACTGTGGTAACAAGCTCCGATTCCACTATCACAGGTAACTGTTTCTAACAAGACCTCGTTCTCCTGTCATAGATATTTCAATATTTGCATTTCTACAAAAACATGCTTTAGCGACTTGAATTTTGTTCACATTAATTAGCTCATCTTAAGTATGTCTCAAAGATATTAAGAGCCGATAATAGAGTGGTGATCTTGGAGAAATTGGCCACAAATCATTAGTAATACGAAGCAAAGCCAAAGAAATCGCAGACCCTTTGTTTGGTCACCAGCTGAGACCAATCTTGAGCCATTGTTATTGTATCAGGATCTATAGAGATTCTACCTATAAGTATGATATAATTGAGAAATTCCACTTACATGTACACGAGTCCATATTTTTCCTGGTTTCAGTTTCAAGCCTGCCTTTCTTTATATACACGGGAATACCATTTCTAGGTTCTCAGCTACAGTCTCAAATGTGCAACCCAACACCAGGTCGTCTTTGACATTAACTAAGCATTTTTACAATTGCAGTATCTTCTGTGTAAGCTCCATTTCTCTCTAGAAAATGGCATGTGCATCACATAGGCTAAATTGCATGAAACAAACATCATAAAACACATCTCTCGTGTTAAAATCACTCTTAGATCTGCTCTCGTTATTCAACTCAACTAGCCAATATTCAGGCACCGGGTCTTAGGTGTTGAAGCAATGAGAAACTTCCAATGCTTCAAGACATTCATTTGTTCAGGACAATCGAAAGACATAAATGTAAGTTACCTAATTCGCAGATCCAAAATCAATACAGAACTTTTAACATCCACTGTATCTTAAAATATGATACATCTTTAGTTCTCCAGAAAAGACAGCACATTAGTTGGTTGAATGAACGTCCTTTGTCTGTAGCTATGTGATTTCGGGTGTCAATTATTTTACCCAATCAGCCATCTTGTCCCAAAAATGCATCACCAAATTCAGCCAAAAATTCACTGAGGATATTCCACTGCATCCTAACTAGCATGGGTGGACAGTTCTCATATAGTGATCTCAGACGTTTGGCAACCAGGTACTCATTGTTGGACCTCCATTTCACTTACCTTGTAAATAATCAATATAGTTGGAAGTTGCATAACCAATCATCCATTATTGCTGATCAACATCAGGATTTCATCCCTTTTTGGGCAGGTAATTGCCCAAGCAAATGCTACTTTTTTTATATGAAACAGTGCATCTCATCTGTAGGCTATATTACCAGGCTACATGGCATCGACACACTAAACTTTGTCCATAGTAAACCAGGGAGCATCTCTTGTATACACTGAGATACCGTGACTTCCTGTCCAACATATGATTTTTGCAGTCTATTGTTCGTGGGCCCAGTCTGTCCAGCATCAGATAATTCTCCCATGGAACATCAGTTCATTGGTTGCGCAGGCAAAACTGCAGTATATCCATCCCAACTATACCCATGATAGGGCTGAGTTGTAATGAGAAATATGTCGTAAACGTTCACAGCATCAGTGAAAGTCCAACATCTAGGTGATGACCTATCCTAGACCTGACAATTTTGTCTAACAACCATCTCCCTTCAGTGACTGA